ATCTTAGGAGTAGGGAATGGATAGGCTCTTGGGTGCCATTTACTGAGAGAGAAGGTAGGAATAGAAGCTTTTGGTAGACGTAGTTACGTTTCAGACATAGTTTGATATCTTATGGGACATCTGGACTAAAAGAGATCCATCTGAAATATAGCAAATGAATGTTCTTTGTGAGCTGAAGAAACAGTTCTGGGTTGTATGGAGAGTAATTGAAACATTTTATGTCTGACAGTGTCTATTTTTCATATGATGTGAAAAAGATGTCATGTATGGAGACTGATGAGAATTTTTTTTTTCTTTTTTGAGTCAAGGTCTCACTCTGTCACCCAGGCTGGAAGGCAATGGCACCATTACAACGTACTGTAGCTTTGACCTCCTGGGCTCAGGTGATCCTTCTACCTCAGGCTTCTAATTAGCTGGGACTACAGGCAGGTGCCACCATGCCTGGCTAATTTTTTAATTTTTTTATAGTGATGAGTTCTTGCTATGTTGCCCAGGCTAGTCTCGAACTTCTGGGCTCAAGCAATCCTCTCACCTCAGCCTCCCAAGTAGGGATTACAGGTATAAACCACCACACCCAGCCTGATGAAAAATATTTGAATAAATATAAAGTGGTTTAAAAAGTTTGACTAATTGATGTAGTAGACAGTGTCAATAACAAATAATGTTTACAAAATATTTTTTTAAAAACCGAAGAATTATTAAGACCATGTAAATACTGGGTATTAGGAATTTTCAATAGCAGTAAATCTGTATGTTTATTAAATTTCCCTTTGGTTATGCTTAGTGTTCAAGTTGTAAAGAATGAAATATGAGATCATAATATGGATTCACAGTTGGAGGTTTGTGAGACAACTGCAGACAAAGAAGGATTCCAAATAACTAAAAAAGTAGACGGTAGTTCAAGTGATAAAAGTAAGATCAGAAGTTGGTCACTGAACTGGCAGAGCTGAGAAATTAGAGATTTCACATTTATAATGAAGCAGAGAGGTATAAGAAAGCTGAAAAGATACTGCATTAGAAATATCTTCAAAAATCAAAAGTCCAATACACAGAAATAGCTGAAGGAATCACCTTATTTTAAATAGGTGATAAAAGGCACTTATATTTCAACAAAGTCATTTATGAAATTAAGTCAACAACTTCTTGAAATGCCAAATGCATTATTAGAAATTACAAGTCAAACAAAATCCAGCTACATATATGCACATACACACATACAACCTTTAAAATTAATTAATAATTACCTGTAAAAATTTTATCTTAAAAACAAAATGTTTTCCTTTCATTATGTCTCCTACATCTGACTGTTATTCATTAATGAAAATAACATTTTTTTTCTTTTTAGTTTTGCTTCTTATTGAGAAGTCCTTATTTTTCAGTTGACATACAGAGTTAAGAATAGCTATCCTAGCTGGGCTCGGTGGCTCAGCCTGTAATCCCGAGCCTTTGGGAGGCTGAGGTGAGTGGATTGCCTGAGCCCATGGGTTCGAGACCCGCCTGAGCAGTGAGACCTCATCTCTACAATAAATCAAAAAATCAGCCAGGCGTGGTAGCACATGCCTGTAATTTCAGCTACTTGGAAGGCTGAGGTGGAAGGATCGCTGGAGCCCAGCAGGTCGAGGCTGCGGTGGCCGGGAGCGGCCACTGCACTCCAGTCTGGGCGACAGAGTGAGACTCCAACTCAAAAAAAAAAAAAAAAAAAAAAGAATAGCTATCCTATTCTTGCTGGTATTGGTAATAAAATACAGTGAACTCTAACAGGGGATAAACAAAGAATAGCATAGAGTTTCTCAATTCAAAAGTAATTCATGACTTTTGAACCACAAATACATCTTGTTATACATTAGATAACAGATTATTGCAAAGTAAGGTTCTAGGAATAGAAAGACTTTTTTTTTTTTTTTTTTTCCAGTTTCTGAGTCAAGGCTACCTTAGCCCTTAGTAATTTGATTATTGTCTATTGTTATTTGTACCTCAGGGAAAAAACTATCTAAGGTAGACCTGCAAAGAATACAGGATTAGACATAGTTCTGGAAAGGAGTCTATGCACTGAGTTCTAAAACGTAGAGGTCATACTTTGAAAAGAAATTCGAATTTAATTTATTATTGCTACATGAAAGTTATATAGTACAAATTTATTTCAAGGAGCTCTGTGTTGAACATGAGACTGTGAGTAATATAGCACATATTTTTTTCAAATAGCTCTGTGTAGATTATGAGATTGTCCCAAATGAAGTACAATCCCTTTTTCCTTATTTTTTCTATTTTGAAAACTCATTAAATTTTTTATTCTTTTTTTTTTTTTTTTTTTTTTGGTT